TTTAGAGACAATTAATAATGAACATAATAGATAAGGATACTTTACAAAGGATTATTGTTACTAAGACGAAATTTTAAAGATCAGATTCATAATGATTCAGAGAATAATAATTATTATTAAAATATACAAGACATTGTTTTTCCCCTTTTGAAAGATGTTCACAGATTATATAAGTTGTCACTGGTGTAAAGTGTCAAAAATTATCAGTTGTCAACGTTATTGTCAGTCGATAACTATAACTGTAGAAGTTCTGATATCTGACATTATCAAGTTGAATAGCGGCTCTATATCTTTTTCAAACTGTGACTAAGGACCGTATTATTATTATCATTAAACAAATGATGCATTTTAAATTTAATAATTGGTTTCAAATACCTCTCTATTAAAATTTTAATAGATATCACAATTACTGATATACCGAAATTTAATCAAATGTTTGAAGGTATGAGGAAAATGATATTGATATCTCAACATCTCTTTTTTAATACTAAAGTAATATTAATTAACTTTTTTTAAATTGTTTTAATAACTGTAAAAGCCGGCCCGAACCACAGGATGGCTGCGATAGCAAAACCGGTGCCGCCCTCCGTTGCCCTCGGTTGCCATATTTGGTATAGTCGTACATTAGATAAATATAATAGAATAATTCAATTTCCATCGACCAATCTATTAATTTGAATTTATTTTTTTACATTACACCAGACCCAGAGCTCTATTAATATAATATGCGAATGTAACCCTATCTGTTTGTCGAGTTTACATAGCTATCAATTTTAAGTATGTACTATTAAGCAGTAGTTGCTATTTAAATATATCAAAAAAAATCAGTGGCCCTACAACCTCTTTTAGGTCTAGGCCTCAGATTTCTGAATTTGTTTCATGATGATTTTTTAATCTAATAGGTGATCAGCCTACTGTGCCTGACACACGCCGTCGACTTTTTGGGTCTTACATATCGGTTTCTTCACGAGGTTTTTATTCCCCGTTCAAGCGAATGTTAAATGCGTACCTACATAGAATCTCCATTGGTGCACAGCCGGGACGACCTCAGGAATGAGAGTCGCAGGCTGAAGGCTACTAGGCCAACACAGCTCAATTCAAATGTATCACAATAATCAAAAAACAACTCCTTTGGATTTGACATATGGGAGACGTACTTAGCGATAAGTTCTAAATCACACCCTAAATCACGAAAATATGTTTGCTTAATAAAACACTATTTTGACCGGATTGAAGTTATGTATTATTATAAATTTACAACTATTTAACATAATTTGGTGACCGGTCACCGTGACCACGCACGCTGTAAAGCACGCGAAACGTCGGATAAATTTAAAATTATGTTAAATAGTTGTAAATTTATAATAATACATAACTTCAATCCGGTCAAAATAGTGTTTTATTAAATGAATAAAAGTTATGTTAATCAAAGACAATACTAAATATGTTTGCGATTAAAACGATAATGAAACGTGTAGTAAAAATAAAATATTCTTTATTTTGTCTAGGTTTATACAATAATCACTAGAAAAACTTAATCTAAAATGGGAAATTCAATATCACAAGTGTACGCCGTTGTCTCTGCCGACAAAACAAACGAGAGTTAACTGTCTATAATTTATACATTAAACATTATATATTTTAGGGAATTAACTACTAATAGTTACTGGTCATCTCATAAGTCCGTAATATGTCTTCCTAAAATAATATATCGGTATTGTATAGAGCGGCATCGTCTTCAATGCTGAAAATTGGGCGTAGCCAACGTGCCATTCTTAAGATATCCTATAGTAGCCAACTTGTTTCACTACTCAACTCCAAAATTGTACAACTTTTAACGGTTACACTTAATAGCAATATGCAGACTTTTATTTTGAAACAAACACAGACCACACCACTTCATAGTTCATACACAACGCAAAAAACGCATTTTCTTCGCCCAATGCTTTTTTCCTGCCTTTCAGCTTTAACCACTTTCTTAAAAACAAAATTTTCACTAACGTTTCAAAACTCACATTACATACATTCACCAAAATTCTTAAACAACATCTTGTCAACATAACCTATGCTAATACAGAAAATATACTTAATGCGCAACCATAGTTTAATTATAAATTGTGTTATGTAGAAATTATTGTCAAGTACAGTTAACATATTATCAAAAGGAAGAAACTGGCTGCCTACAACACAGGGAATCCTGTGTGTGGGCTTGTGCACTTTAATGAAGTTATACTTCTTTAGGCGCGTTATGAAAAAATGATGAGAGTGAAATTTTACGATGCGCGCGCACCGTGACACAAAATTAACAGAATGAAGTTGCCCACGGAAGATGCTACGGCATTGGACATAATTTAAAAACAACATTCGAATAATAATAGAATTTATGTTACACTTAATGTAAGAGAATAATAATAAATATTTTATTTATTTAATGTAAACTGAACTTTATTGACTATAATGACTCCTTTTCCAGTCTTTGATTATTTAATTGTAATTAATTATTTGCATGCAATCAAAAAGTATTTTTAATAAGGCCAAAGAAGTATAACTTCTTACGCGCGTACATAAGTACACGCACCCTTTTTTACCTTATTCAGGTAAAATAAAGTGCACTAGCACTAGTATAGTTATAGTTCTTTCTTTCTTTCTTACGTTCAAATCTCCTAAAAAGTTTCACTTATAATGTAGTACCAATACACTGTGACACTGGTTCGGAAAACGACATGTTTTAGCAACACAAAGCGGCGTAATTATCTACAATAGAAAAATTACAAAAAAACTAAAACACATAAATTACATTAAAAGTTTGAAAGCCACTGAAATATTATTTATTTTTATTAAATATAATTACTTAAGTATTTCGAATATTTTAGGAAAAAACATTGACTTTTTCCTGGGATTATATAAACTAATTAGCTAGTTTTAAATACACAGGACATATACATATGTATTATATAAACACTTCGAAATATTATCAATTAATTAGCTATATCACTTTTAATATTATTAATAATTTAAAAACAACAACATTAAAAGTGATACATATAATTTGTTACCAAGTCTTCCTTATGGCTAGATATTATAATCATCATCACGTGTTGTACTTTTTGCATAATAAAAATTAAACATACCTCAAATACTAATTTTTACACACTTTTCGTTCGATATCATTTAAGCAGAATCAATTGTAATATTTTCCAAAGAATTTGTTGTTTACGACACGCTTGCAACACTTTTACCTTTGATAGTAAGTGCAAGTGGAACAGAAGTATCTATAAACGAGAGAGACAGATTGTATATTGGGTAAACTGGCCAGCGGATCTGAAATAGCGGCACATTTACTCCTTTTTCTTTTAAATATTTCTCATATAATCGTTACAGAAAAGTCCTTAAAACTAATGTCCCAGTATAGATAATGGCTCGATAATTAGTTTTGAGAAAATTTCTTGTGGAATCTAGCAAAATACTTTTCGTGTCGTTATATGAAACGAAAGGATACGTTGAACCGAAATGAACTGCACACAATTTAACTTATTTATATTACAGTTCTAAAGAATTTGAAATTTCTAATATAATATCTTATTTAAAATAAAAAATTGAGCCATTTTCATATACTTTTATGGGAATTTACCCGTATTTTCTACAGGGCACCCCACTCCACTTTGCGCGGCAGCGGTCAGAAGGCGGGGTTTATCGGCAAACTCGCGTCGAAGCTGGCTTCACTGTCAATTCGAGAGCTGCAAAGAGTACGCTCGCGTTTATTACGTTATGTGTTTATATAGTGAAGTGTGATCTGTGAGAAAATTTCGAATGTCGTGAAGTCAAAGATTTGTGTTGTTTTGTGATAAAGTGCAACTTGTGTGAAATCGACATGTTTTCTCTAGTGTTTTAAAAGTGTTTAAATCAAAATGTGCAAAGCACCGTGGTGTGCAAAATTGATTTTTGCCACGTAGTGACGCGGACGGGTAATGATTCCTAATGTGGAGTTCGAAGCAAGATGGTTAGAGAGACTCGGCACCTGTGGGTTGGAAACTTACCCGATAGCATACGTGAAGATCGAATAAGAGAACACTTTAAACGGTACGTCAATCACTAGCTCTAATCCTTAAGTTAACACTAATATAAATCGCCTCCTAGCTTAAAATTAACTATACTTACGTCTTACAAACACCTGATCAAAAGAATGAATAAGGCATTTGAATAATGCGTCAGACTCGGAAATGGCGTTGTCAAGTACCTACGAATACAGGCAAGCTACAACGTTTTACTTTGCAGGGTTACACATTTCATGACCGATATTTTCACTTCAAATAAACTTTTTATAGCTTTCACGACCAATGCAAGTCTTGTGTACATATTACATCTAGCGTTACGATATATCTAGTACATATTACTATACTACATTATACTATTTACAAACCTAGTATGGTGTGTACTTCAATTTTTAGCGCAAAGTTTGTAGTACACAGAGATATTTCGTTCATTTAGTACTATTTTATATAATTACCTAATCGACTATTTATTAATCTTTATGACGTTAAAGCCATAACATCAGAATTATTTAAATATTAAACTAAACGCGGGGCTCAACATACGGCAAATCAAGTAATATATTTAGAAGTTTTGTATACGTAATTTTGTAGGTAGTTCCAAAATGTTAATGAGATCGACTTCTTTGTTGTTAAACATAAGATTTAGGAAACCATCAGAATTGGAGCATTACTGAATCCATAACAAATACATGTAAATAAGGACTAACGAGTTCAAGACAAAGTTCTCTTTTCGTATTCAAGTGTTAAACACACATTTTTTTTTAGAAATACGCATTTACTTATAATCATCAATAAATACCTATTGTTAGTTCAGTAAAAAAATATAGCATTAACGTATCCTACGTATAATGTTTACGTACATAGCGAACCGATGCACGAGATTATACCTGGGTTTAAATAAAGTTAAATGACTATTCACGCATCCAAAGGGGTCTTTTACAAGATTCC